CCTTAGTCACTTGAGCCTCAGGCGCCGAGCCTTTTTTTTTTTATTCCTTTTTGCAGTTTTTGGCCAGGGCGCTGCCCCAAGTTCTTCAGCTTTTTGAGCAATTAATGTTCCTGTTTTTTTTTTTTTTGAGACAGAGCCTCAAGCTGTCCTCCTGGGTAGAGTGCTGTGGCATAGCTCACAGAAACCTCCAACTCCTGGGCTCAAGCGAGTCCCCTGCCTCCGCCTCCCAAGTAGCTGGGACCACAGGCGCCCGCCACAACGCCCGGCCATTTTCTTGGTTGCAGCCATCATTGTTGTTTGGCGGGTCTGGGCTGGATTCAAACTCGCCACTTTAGGTGTATGTGGCTGGCGCCCTAGCCGCTTGAGCCACAGGCACCTAGCCAATATTCCTGTTCTTTAAGTGAGAAAACTAAGGGCACCAAGTAATTTTTCTAAGGTTATACAGATAGTTATGAGTTCAAGGTAGGATTTGAACTTAGGTAGAATGGCTTTAGACATAATGTTCTTTATATCATGATACCTTTTCACTGATCTTACTCATTCTCTAGGTCCCAGCCAAAGGTGTTTTTTTTGGTCTATGTTGATAACTATTTTGTAGCAGGAAGATATATATTATTGTGATTATTTATATATATGTGTGTGTGTGTGTGTGTGTGTGTGTGTGTGTGTGTAGATAGATAGAGTCTCACTATGTCGCTCTTGCTAGAGTGCTGTAGCATCACAGCTCATAGGAACGACTAACTCTCGGGCTTGAGCGATTCTCTTATCTCCCAAGTAACTGGGACTACAGTCGCCCACCACAATGCCTGGCCTTTTTTTTTTTTTTTTTTTTTTTTTTATTGTTGTTGCTGTTGTCATTGCTGTTTAGCTGGCCCAGGCAGGCTAGGTCCAAACCTGCCAGCCTAGGTGTGTGTGGCTGGCCCCTAACCACTGTGCTACAGGTGCTCAGCCAGAAGATACATATTATGATGAATGCAGTTTGAATGAAAAAAAAAAGAATGCAGTTTGGCCCTGAGATTATATAGGTACTGTAGCAAATTGATATTACTCAGAATATACATTGTAGATAGATGAAGACCATGGAGCATTAACTTCATTCATTGTTTCTTAAAGTTTCTCTGACTTTGATTTAAACCTAAGAGGCCGAATATTGATTTCCTAGGAGTATGTTACTGAAGAAATGTCAATTTATAACTAAGGAACTAGAAATAAATGTTTTAGACTAGATGTTAATTCAGATTTTAGGTGTTTATTCTTTTTCTAGAGGTAAGAAGTATGGCGAAACAGCTAATGAGTGTGGAGAAGCCTTCTTTTTCTATGGGAAATCGCTTTTGGAATTGGCAAGGTATGGTCTATTGAAAAAGTGAAGTTTCATTGTTGGCTAAGGTAATTTACTAGCTTTGAGTTTAAGTTTTGACTTTTGGGGTCATTAAAAGGAAAGGTCTCTTAATAACAACTGGTTGATAACTAACTGATCAAAGTCTAGTATAGAGAGATAATCTTTAAAAGCACCCTCAGCTAACTCAGAACAAGACTGAAGAGAGGAATGTCTAAGACTCACAGTAGTCTTTTGTTTGTTTTCATTTTAGTGTTTTTTTTAGTATTAGAACGATCTTGGGTATTTTGTGTCAGAATTTATTAACCAGAATAAGATAAATTAAAGATAAGATGAATTAAAACTGGCTAATATTCTATTATCTGTTTGATCTCAAGTTCTGGTAAATTTCTAACCTTGTAATTATACACAGCATTCTGATTATTTGCTGTGAAAATCCTGCCAGAATGTTATTGGCTATGTAGAGTGGGGGCGGATGCAAAGTTTGGGTGTTCTTTTGGCAACTGTCTTATATTTTCTGTCTTGGAAAAATTGGTATGTTCTAGCCATCAAACCATTGGTGCTTTCTTTTTTTCTTCTAGAATGGAGAATGGTGTTTTGGGAAATGCCTTGGAAGGTGTTCATGTGGAAGAGGAAGGAGAAAAAACAGAAGAATCTCTGGTAGAAAATAACGATAATATAGATGGTATGTAGAGCTGCATGTGACATTTGAGAACTGCGACGCTGTGTATTTCTTATATACAAGTGATGGAAATGGGGCTTTAACTGCCCTGCATGGTCTCTCCTAAGATGCTTGGGGTGATGTTTGCATCTGGTGGAGACTGCAATGGGGATAGCCTATTACTGAAAATGACAGCAGCTTTTATAAGAGGATAACTCAATTTTTTAAATCTGCTTGTTGGTGTTTTGGTTTTTTAAAAAACAAGATTAAATTGGTGTTTGAAATATTGGGACAACTTTTAAGTATTTTTCTGATGCCAGGTTTTTAGACAGTTGGTGCAGCTCAGTTATTTTAATAGCAGTACTTTAGGAGCCCTTTACGTTTTAATGTCTTAAGAATGTTAAATGTTAATTTCTAACCTCAGTTTAGCTACTAGAGTTTTACATATCAGGGTACTAGAGTTTTACAGATCAGATGGGGGTCTATAAGGAGAACAAAAAGCTTGGCATCTCTTACATAACTGGTAATCAGAATGCATAAGTAAAATGGTCACTAGTTTAATGAGCTTGGGTTTCTTTTCAGTAAGTTGCTCTGCTAGCTGGGACTCTATTCTTTTTCTTTTCTTAAGGGGGCAGCTAATTTTGAGGCAATCTGCTAAAATTTACTAGGCTTTTTGAGGGTTTAAAGGGAATGTATTTTTAGTTTCCATTCATGCCTTTATCATTAAACTCGAAGACATGTTTATGCTTCATGTTCTTTAACCATGTAGAGGAAGCAAGGGAAGAGTTGAGAGAACAGGTTTATGACGCCATGGGAGAAAAAGAAGCAGCCAAAAAAACAGAAGACAAGTCTCTGGCAAAACCTGGAACTGATAAAGAACAGGAGAGTGAAATCGAAAAGGGTGGAAAAGAAGATATGGATATAAGTGAGCCTACAGAGGAGCTACAGGAGAAAGTTGAATTGATGCCAGATCAGTTAATTGAAACCTCTGAAGAGGTGAAGAGAGCAGCAGCACCAGAAAGACGGAATGAAAGTGAGGTCATTTCTGGGAAGCCAAAACAGGAAGTCCCAGATGCTAAGGAAGAAAAATCAGTTTCTGGAAGTGATGCCCCAGAAGAATGCAGAGAAAAAGGAGGTCAGGAGAAACAGGGAGAGGTAATTGTGAGCATAGAGGAGAAACCAAAAGAAGAGCAGCCTGTCGAGGCTCATGAAAAGCTGAGCACTGCAGTGGAGGTAGAAGGAGCACCCGTAGAACCAGCAATCAAGCCAGTAGATATGGGTGGGGACGAGCCAAAGGAGAATGTAGCTACTTCTGAAAATGAGATAGGAAAGGCTGTTCTTGAGCAACTGGTAGGGCCAGAAGAGCCTGCTGCTGAAGAGTCACCAGAGGTGACAACGGAGTCTACAGAGGCCTCAGCTATAGAGGCTATATCAGAAGTTGCTGAGAAGCCTGGGCAGGAGGCAACAGTTCTTAAGGATGGTGCAGTCAATGGACTGTCAGCTGCGGGAGATTACACTCCTGTTGAACCACAGACTTCTTTAGAAAGACTGATAGAAACAAAAGATGGTTCAGGAGTAGAGGAGGTGGGGGCAGAGCTGATTCCTAGCCAGGAGGAAACTAAATTGTCTTTACAAGAGTCTGAGGCAGCTGGAGATGGGGTTGGTACCAAGGTAGCCCAGGGAGCTACTGAGAAATCACCTGAAGACAAAAAGTAAGATAGCTGCTAATGAAGAGACACAAGAGAGAGAAGAACAGATGAAAGAGGGTGAAGGTAACCGGGATATGCAAGAGCTGCAGTGGGTGGAAGTACATTCTGGATTTGACTCACTAATTAATCATGGGTAAAAGTTAGCCTTCCATTCAGGATTTTCAGTCTGCCTTTAGATTAGAAGAAGGCCAAATGAAAATGGGGGTAGTTTAAGAAGGCAGTGGTGGTTGCGTAAATCAAAAGCAAGAAGTCTTCTTTAGCTGGCTTATAAACTAACGCTTTTACTAACTGCAAAATAGGTCTTCTCTGACTTCTGAGAACTTGGCTAGCTATCAGTAACATGTGCACCATACTAGCCAATAAGAGGATAGAAAGGTGGATGAGGGGTGGGGTAGATAGGATAACAGTGGAGTAGGCTGGCAGAGAATGCTGAATGGATGTTCACTTGCATGCCACTGGATTTTTTTTTATTTACTGTTCACAGGATTCCTTTTCTCTGCTTTAGGAAGCAGGAATGGAGCAGTAGAATCCGTTGAATTGGTACGCTTAAGCAGGCATGCCATTTAAATGAAAGGCAATTAACCTTGAATGTTGATCACCAGAGTTAAAGAATTCTGGTGCCTCTTTTTACCTGTAGTTTACAGAAAGTGTTTAGACTCTATAAACACTAAACATAAGAGGCTTATTCACATTAGTTAAAACAGCTCCTGCCCCTAACCTAAGATAACAAAAAATGTAACCATTGGCCTCCTTGCTGCTTTCCCTCATTTCATGCTTGTTTTGGCTGCTAAATTGAATTTCTTACTACTTAAAATGTTATAAAGTGAGGATGCTTTGTATTGCTACCAGTCTAATTGTGGTCCAATCTCATCAAGATCTATAAGCCTCTAATTAATAATTCCATATTTGGCACGTCTGACTTGTGCTATCATTTGAGGATTCTACTGTATATAAGGTTCACCTAACATTGACATTAATAACCACAGGTATATTCCAACTACTTGTTTCCTATATTTACCAGACTGCTTTAAGTTCTCTTTAAGTTTTAGATTTTCAAAGACCCATCTTCAATATTGCACCTCATTTTGGTAAATCTCCTTTACCCATGTGCAGGTCCCTGCACTCCAGCCAGCACAGGCATGGTAATAAGCTAATTGGCTAAATGTTAGCATCATTGGGCTTATTGAATGTTAGGAGGTCTTTATGGAAAAAGCACCAAACTGTATTCCTCAATTTTTTCAAAAGTTTCTCTCATTCTCTGTTTTTTTTTTTTTTTTTTTTGAGACAGAGCCTCAAGCTGTCTCCCTGGGTAGAGTGCTGTGGCATCATAGCTCACAGCAACCTCCAACTCCTGGG